GAAGATAAAGAGATAAAAAATCCTTCATTTCTCCTAGCAGTGTTCAAGTCACTGTTGAAAATCTGTATCTAATTCCTAATTTGAATTTGACTTCTACTTGCTGTTGTTGGTTCTTTTTCTGTCTTACTTTGCTAGATTAAAATACACATCAGTTCCAGACCCTTAATGCTTTTCATTAAAAACCATGAACCAAATCTTATTTTAATTTGGAAAAAGTGGGATTGAACTATATTGAGAAGCAGAACACTTCTCTGCAATGCAGCTAAACTAAATACAGCAAAATATGGCAACAAAAATGGTGAAGGATAACATCATACTGTGCTCTGTTAATAGGACTGCTGCCAGCAGATCAAGGGAAATGATTAATCCCCTCTGTTCAGCACTGGTGAAGCCACATCTGGAGTACTGTGTTCAGTTCTGAGTCCCCCACTAAAGAAAGGGGGGGATAAATTGGAGAGTCCAGTGGAGGGCAACAAAAATGGTGAGAGGGTTGGTGACTGATAAGGAAAGGCTGAGGGAACTGGGCTTATTTAGTTTGGAGAAGAGAAGACTGAGGGGGGATTTAATAGCAGTCTTCAACTACCTGAATGGTGGCTCGAAGAGGATGGAGCTGATCTGTGCTCAGTGGGGGCAGATGACAGAACAAGGAGCACTGGGCTCAAGCTGCATCAAGGGAAGTTTAGGTTAGATATTATGAGGAAGAACTTTCTCACCAGGAGGGCAATAAAGCACTGGAACAGGTTACCCAGAGAGGTGGTGGAGTCTCCATCCTTGGAGGTTTTTAAGACCCGGCTAGACAAAACCTTGGCTGGGATGATGTAGTTGGGGCTGGTCCTGCTTGGAGCAGGGGATTGGACTAGATGTGACCTCCTGAGGTCCCTTCCAACTCGCATTTTCTATGAAATACAAGCTCTCTGCTCCAAGCAGTCTTGGAGTGAGTACATTCCTAATAAGAAGGGAAGAGCTCAAATGGACCCATCATGTTTTATCGTACTTGGCTAAAATAAGGTATAATGATGTAGTCTCACACACTGAGCCCAGCGGAGGTGTTTCAGGGGGTGGGGGGCAGGCAACCATAACAATAATTGTTTGTGAATCTGAAGTTTCACAAAATTTGGCTATTCTCATTTCTTAACATCTTAAAAAGTATTTATGGCACTTAATGCAAGATGCCCAAAAGGACAACATACAAAGTTATGGTAGTTTGTTATCACCTTCTTGTGGGAATGCATTGTTTTGTTACATAGCAACTGTCAAAATTAAAGTTCTCTTTCTTATAACAGTGGAATTATGTAGGAGTTCCATGCATCTCCCTAACGTAATTTAACACTTTTCCTGATAGTTTAGGTATACTGAAATATTTTAAGAGTATGCATATTATACTCCTAATATTGTCATAATATTTAAAAGTACATTAGTCCCAAATGTACGTAAAAACGTAATCAAAATAATCATGCATTTTCAAATAACACCACATAGTAGAATGCAACACTTTAGTGATGGGCAAGAAGGTTGTTTTTCTTTTCCCTCGCCAACTAAAAACTACATGGAAGATTTTTAGTTTCCAGTACTAACGGAGTTCTTTGCGCCAGAGGCAATAATATACGAGTAAAATGTCTTTAGAGGCCCTCAGCCAAAATTGATAAAGTGTTTCATAAAACCACAAGAATACTTCGACAAAGAATTTTATATAATAAATTAAGGTACAACTGAAATCCAATTTTTACAGTACAGAGATCCCACAGCAGGGGAAAAATAAGCCGTCACAGGTTTTACTGGTTCTTACACACAAGACTTGATTGACAGTATGTGTTTAGGTAGGGGAAGTATGTGAGACTCAAAAGTTTGGATTTTACATTTTTCACAGAAGTGGTACTTACCTGCTTAGTGTAGGTGGAAATTCCAAGTAAACACAGACGCACAGATCTGCTGCATAAGTCATATTCTAGATGTTATGCCTAGGTCCTTAATTCCACTACCTTTCAATGCAATTTGGGGTGAACAATACATTGTCAATGAGGTTATTTTATGAGAGCAACTCAATTGTAAAGAAATCAGACTTCAGGTACAAAGATAACTGCATGAATTTACTTAATATTTCCCTTCTATCAGGAAACTAGGCAGATGGTACAACTTGATCTAAAAGTAGAGAAGCAGAATAAGAAAGCATGGTGGGAGGTTGTGGGGGGGAACATTTTGTCTAAATATTGTAATCAAGGGAAAAAAAACTTTAAATTGTGTCATAGTAAAAATCTGACAGGAACAATTTTCAACTTACAACATTAAGGCTAATCGTACACAATTTCTAACAAACTGCTAAAACCTCAAATTGGGGAATAATTAATCTGAAGTCCAGTAGTCCATCGCTGGCTATAAGCAGCAACCTTAATATGGCTTCAAGAGTTATTAAAAATTAGTAAGAGGATAGTCAGTCCATCTGTCTCATATACACTAGTTTGTCTTTTCGATGAAACGCTTGTTCATTTCCACTGCTGTGGAAAAAGGTACTAATTGTGACAAAACGCCAAAGTTTTGGATAATTTGATTTCTGCCATCACCAAAGACACAAGACTGGGCTTTTTAAGAATCGCTACATATTTTTTCTTCCCTTTACTGACAGTGAAATGGAGCTTTCACCCATTTTGTAATAATAATAGGAAAAACAAGTTTACAGATACCTATACAATTGTAGAGCAGATCTAGCCAAACGCAAGCATACGGTTTATTTAACATTTCTGGAATTCAATCTCCTTCACAATATCTATGACTAAACCATTTGTCTGAATGAGTATCACTTGCTGCCCCCTCCTGCCTAGAAATTTAGGCAGATTGACACATTGTCTTGCACATTTAAGTTGTTCTTCTTTAACAAGGTAGTAATGGTGGCCCTTATACTTTTAGTGCTGTCAGAGAAGATACCGCTGATTGAGAAAATTTGTTTTTAGTACACTGCAAGCGAAGCAAGGTAGTGGAACTTAATTTAACACTTATTACATTAAGTTGTCTGTTTAAAGGTTTACCTCAAGTACCTGCCCATCCAAAACACGAAAATGGCAAAGTTTTGTACTAGTCATATTTGGAAACTGAATTTCTCCAGGCATGAATTATGATGTTAAATGTTTATGATGCCTAAAGGTTTGTAACTGAGTCTCTGAAGAATTAATTCTTCAACGTCATGTGAACACTTGACTACTATTAAAATAACAGGTGCCGAACATTTCACTTGACTTAATGGTAAGACCGAGTCCGACTTTAACATCCATCTTCTCCAGGAACCTTTCTGATTAGGTTTTCAAGCCTCTGAACAGTTACAGTTATTTCCTCTCAGAGATGGAGGAGTGAAATTCTGTTTCAAAGCAGGACTGAAATTTGGCCCTAAATTAAAAATGGGTATATTTTTACTGGGACTTTCCAGCACATATCTTAAAAAAGAAAAACAGCTGTCTCGTCAACCAGACAGTTATGGTATTATATGTGAAGAGAATGACAAACATTGACAGTTATCCCTGTAACAGGAAACCAAACTCTCCCAACAGAATCTGGGCAATCTCTGACAATGTGCATCTAGCTGCAAGCATTCCTTAAATAGGTACCCTATCAAGTGAACAGTACTTTTTAATTAACACATGACATTGTTGAAAACTAAATATTTCTTACCCTTTCAGTCTTTTCACTTATTTTAGCTATATTACTTATAGCTCAAAGCAACTGTTAGTTCAGTGTTAAGAAACATGCATTATTCTTTTGTTTAAGCTCATTAAGGTACAAAGTGACCCATGTAAAGTTCAATAGCTTGAAGGCGATGTATGCATTTCTGATTAAAACAATAAGAGCGCTTATCATTTACATATATGTAAATTATAAACTTAAGAGTCAACTTAGTGGTGCATATAAACATATGGACTAACATTTCCAAAACCTGTTAACACAAAAACATATTCCTTTTCCTCCATAAGTCCTGAATGGTCAGAGACAGATGCTGTCATTGCAATAGAAAATTTCAGACAAGTGCTCACATACATTCATAAACGATAGCCCACACCCATTATCACTGCCATTCTGTTTCTAATGATTTCCGCAATGATACACCATTTGGATTATTTGGGATCATGCTAGAGTGCTATTTAATTGTAATTAAAAGTAGGTTGGGAAATTTCAGTGATAAAGGGAAAACATTTCTATAAAAAGAGAAAAAGGATTTGTATTAAATTTTGATCAGCTCTAATTACAATAGACAAGTACTGCTCAATGGAGTGAAATGCCTGTAGCTGGTAAATATACTCATATGGATAATTATGCCAACTGCTACTATTTTAAAAGCTAGTACCTTACCATGAATCTAGACTTATTAATACTCCCATCCTCAGGTCTTTGTACTATACTGACAAACTGCTATACACTAGTGATAAATTATGAAAGCTTCACAAATTTTAAACAGTTGAAGTTGAAAATCTTACAAGTCATTAATAAAAACATTTATAACAAGTTGTGCCAAGTAATAACATTTATTGTAAGTTATGCCTTTATCCACTACAAACACAAGTAGAATGTGATATCTTATGAGCTTTATCTTCCTCTCTAGCCTTAATCTCATTATTAACAATCTCATTAGAATCTGACCCTTGAAAAGCCAATTTGTGTAAAATTTCAAACACAAAAAGGGTATGTTGGAATATACATAAGTATCAACAGCAACACATACTTTATTTAATGAGCTGAAAAAACTGAGTTCTGAAAAGAGAAATCCCATCATTGGGAACGCTAAGAGTTACATTTGACTAAAAAGCAACTGTTATGAGTTGCAGCAACACAGATCACTTAAAAAGAAATCAGATGCTCAAGAGGTCAACAATTAACTCTAGTACTCATTTAGTATATACGGAGAGGAAAAACGCGCTCTGAATCTTTAAAGGTCTCCAGACCAGTTCTACATTTTGAGCAGTGAGACCCTGGAAACTGGAATGGAGGAGAACTAGCCAAGTGTCATTTGCCACACCTACCTGAAGTTCCTTAACAACTCGTTTGATGAGGTAATTTCCCAGCTCTACACCCTGCAGCCCCTGCTGAGTCAAACTGATTGAATAGAAAATTGCTGTAGTGATTTTGTTCATATCTTCTATTTCTGTATGTGAAACTTCTTTCACAATTGCCTGGGAAAATAAAGATTTTTTTTTTTAAGTTACTAATGAAACCAAAAAATACACTTCATTTCGTTGCTTGTTAATTAATTAATCAGAATCCTCTTTTCCCATTTTTTATTCAGAATCTACTGAAGTATACATCAAATATGTATGTATATTTAAGCCAAAAGTCAACAGTTTCTTTAAACAATTGGGAAACAGTAGTACTGGGAATCAAACTGGGATTTTAAACAAAGATTTCTCAACCATTCTTAAATCAGCTTCTCTAACAGGCATATTTTGAAATGTGATCACTGAAATGTGTACTGAATATGCTGTTGACTATACCTGGATGCTGCTGGATATTTCATCAGTCAGTGCTACATGCAAGACTATCAATGGGTCCCCAGGAATTGCACAGTGCGAAAAAAAGTAGCACCTTCTGTATGGCCCAACTCGACGCTTTATGTCAACCCAGTTTCTAACTGGGTGAACAGCTTCAGCTCTGAATAGGATGTACAAAAAGAGAGTCAGATTTTCATCTAAAAACAGAATTCTCCTGATTAGCACTCTTAGCCCTTGTTTCCCCCACTGTCACTGGCGAAACTGAGTTCAACGGGGCAGATCAAAAGAGAACATGAAATTCCAGACTTAAACTATTACCTAATATATTGTGCAATATGCTTCTCTCACGTCTACTGTCTCTAACCTTGTTACATAAATTCACTACAAATTTGAAATAATAGTTTGTGCTTTCTGACTTATATAGGATATCTGATTTAGATCATTATGCCACTTATTCACTATGTGAGCATAGATATCTCATATCCCTCAGGCATCAGTTTCCCCATCTGTAAAATAGAGATCATATTTAAGCATCTTTGTAAGTGCTTTGAAAGTGTCAAAAAAGAATTGTATGAGGGTGAAGTGCTTGCTGGACAGGAATGCTGACCAAAAATGTACCTCTTGGAGCTCGTCCTTAATAGTATTTAAAAACCTCCCTACCTTCCAAACTCATCCCATTTTTAATACATTAATTTTAAGGACAATAATGTTACTTGCCTTTAAACAGACCCTAGACATTAGAGAAAGGAGTTTTGTAATTTATTATAAAAGTTTCACAGAGAAACAAGAATGTGAACTCTCATCTCAGTTTTAGCACTCCACACAACTCCTTCAGTTTTCATCAGTTACATGCATAACTCAAACAAATTCTTAAACTGTACATAGCATAAACCTCTTCGGTCATGTTTTAATCATTCCTTTTTATAATCTCCCATTTCTTTTTCCCCTTAATATACACTATGGAAGACTTCAGTCACAGAATTCTTATGCTGTAGTCTTTAGTTGAGAGGCTATGAGTTTATTAGTTAGTTATTTTGCAAGCATGACCTCTATCACTGTTTTTCCTTCTTTGTGCCAAAAGGAATGGCAGAAGTTGCCTGCTACCCCAGCTCTTTTCTTTAGAGCTTCAAGTTTCTTCAGAGCTTTCCATGGTCACACACTGAAAAAATTCAATAAAACACCGATTCATACTTTTTTCCCCACTGAATTGCTGTGAGTTGTGTATAGGACAGGAGAAACAGAAAACATTTTTGACTATTGGGCCATTTATACAAGCTTCAACATGATTACAATTTCCATTCTATACTAAGCTCTGTGTATTTTATCTGACCACTGAGCACAAAAGCTAAATTATAAAAATATTGACTACATATGCTGTATTGGTAAGCTACATTAACTACTCATTTGGTGGAGTTAAACCAGTACCAAAGCTGACTTTATTCCTTTTTACAGGAAGAGATATTTTTCTTTGGTTCAAGTGTACTCATCTACAGTCTTTAAAGTATATTGAGTACAGTCCTAGTATGGATAGACTTAAAGGTTAGGACACTCTTTAGTATTTACACAATTCTGCTACAAAGAAAGAAATCAACAGACATCCTTAAAGTTGTGATTCCTTCACCATACTTTGCAGTATGTCACAAATAGATATTTCAGAAGTGTAGGGCAGGGTTCAGCAACCACTGACCACCACTTCCAACTCAGGCTGTGTCATGGGCCACAAATCTCTGCCCTCTCCAGAGCCCAAACTGCTGAAGTTTACCCTCACTGCCAATCCATGGACACAGTGGCAATGGAGAGAAGCAAATTCTGCACTGGGGGTAAGCACCAGTGTAAGAGCAGCAAGGAGGGGAGCACTATGAAGAGGAAGGGCAGCATGGCACAGCTGCATGCCTCCAGTCCCCAATACCACCTTGGAGCAGACTGGACCTTTGCAGGCCAGATCCAACCACAGGCCACAGGTTGCCAACCCCTGGCACAGAGGATCTGCATAGCTGTCTCTCCAGACTGGCCAATTTAGTGTTCAGCTATATCAGTGAGCATCAGTAATTGTCAGTACTTACTCACTAATCTTTTGAAGCACTTCACAAGGTGACTGCCAGGTGACTCGCTCCAAGTTTAGGAAACCTGTAGAGAACCACTCTGAAAGCATGCTCTTCAGTACCTCGTTCATTTCCTGCAATTAAGAGAAGAAAAACCAATTACTTTAAATAAACTGGATGTATCATAAAGATTGGGGTTTAAGCTACCTTGATTCTTTTGCAGATAGTATTTAAAAATCAATCAAAAAGACACACACACCCCTCCCTCATCCACAAACCCAAACCCAAACTATTGTCATATTGAAATACGTAAGAACACTGCTGAATCTGTTTGAGGAACAGATTACAAAATTCATAGATTTCATAGACATTGGGGCTGGAAGGGTCCTTGTAAGATCATCAAGTCCAGCCTCCTGCCCCAGGGGTAGGACGTCAGCTAGGGTCAAAGGATCCCAGCAAGATAGGCATCCAAATGTTTCTTAAGAGTCCAGAGTAGGTGCTTGCAACACTTCTGGGGGTGGAGTCTATTTCAGGCCTTGGGGGTTCAGATAGTAAAGTTTCTCCTCATGTCCAGCCTAAAACGGCCTTGGAGGAATTTGTGGCCATTGGACCTTGTCATCTCTTGGGGTGCTCTGGTGAACAGTTGTTCCCGCAGATCCTGATACACACCCTTTATGTATTAGAGGCTGCTGCCAAGTCTCCCCTGTGCCTTCGCTTCTCCAGGCTGAAGAGTCCCATGGCTCTCAGCCTCTCTTCATAAGGCCTGTTCTCCTGCCCTCTGATCATGCACGTGGCTCTCCTCTGGACTCTTATGGTAAAAACTGCCCAAACTCAAAGTAATAGAAGCATTTCTCACACTACATCTCAAACAAGAATGTTAAAGACCCATCCCACAGAGCCCCTCATCCAGCCCCAGTGCTGCTCCTGGGTCAAGAGTTGACCCATGCACCATGTGCTGCACCAGCCTTGCGCACTGGGCCCAGGATGTGTGCTGCACACTGCACCCACCCCAGCTGGTCCAGGACATGCACTACACATGGCACCCACCCAAGACACATGCTGTCTGTGGCACCCGCTGCAGGACTCAAGCTGCATACAGCACTCCCCTTTGGCTGCTCCAGGGTGGCACTATGTGCAGCATGCGTCCCAGACCGGCTGGAGTAGACACCGTACGCAGGTGGTGCCCTGGACCAGCCATGCACAAGCACCATGTACAATGCAGTCCCAGGCTGTCTGGTCCAGAGCGAGGGCCACATATGCTGGACCCAGCATGGAAGAGAAAGCAGCAGGGTGTGGGCTTGATCTAGCCACTACCATTCATCTGGCCTGAGTGGCAAGGCAATTTTGATACCCTTGATCTAAAACGATAAAAGTGTCAACAAGAAACTGCAAACTGTCTTTATAGTAAAAGATACGTTAATGAAACAAAGCCACCAAAAGAGTTCAGCAGAAAAAGGACAGACCGAACAGCATTTGAATGATCTCTTAACAATGAAAACCTGAATCTCAAATCATGCATTTCTTTGGATGCATCCACTCGGATGCTAAGATTTTCTGATTGAAATAAGGGCCTGAAAATTGTCCCACATAACGTTCTGGGCCTAGTTCTCTGCTGAACGCCGAGCAATTCACCAAGGAAAATACAATACACCTCTCATTGTGCTTAGCATTCAGCTTGGTTGTCAGTAATAGTTCTTAACAGTACACACAAAGTGAACTTAAAAACATATCCTGAAGGCTTATCACTTCTGTGTAGACCACAGCAAATGAAAAAGAATGTTAAGGCTGCTCTAGCTCAAAGTGCCCCTAGCAAGCTTTCCTACAACACATCATCTTCATCACTCTGGCAAAGTGCAGGACATCAAACAAAAGATGTAAACCCTGGAATAGTCTGTGCTCTCACACAGCTTACATAAAAGTTAAGAGAAATCATCTGCCTAAATCTGAAACTTTGAGTGAAAAGGCAGCATAAAAGTATGAAATTCAGAAAAGGGGTTCAAAGCTTTGTGGCAGTAAGTTGCAAATATAAATATAACTGTTGTCTGAAATACCCTATTTTCTTGCACACAAATACGCACTCTTTTCCCCAAAAGTCAGCTCCCCCCAAATTGGGATGTGCGTATTAAGCAGGAAAGCTGTTTTCTACGCTATAACAGCAAGCCTGGAGACTGGGCATGACACGCAGCTGCCAAGATGACAACCCCTACTTGTGTCAGATTCAGCAAGCTGAAGGAGCAAAGTCCCGTATTAACCCTCTCGCAGCTGCAACTAGTGACTAACCACTATGGTTTGCACCGGAAGTAGCACGTAAGCCCCTGGCAGCATCCTGATGAGACTTGTGATGCAGAAACAACACTTTACAGGAACTTTATATAAAGAACTACTTGCACAGTTGCAAAGGTCTGGGGCCTATCTTTGACAGAGCAAGTCTCCTGGGAACAGTGTCCAGGAAGCGTGGTATCCCAAAAGCCAGTCTGGGGAAGGCAATAGGGTCTTCTTGCCACACACTCCTGAGATGCCATGCTTCCTGGACACTCCTGTTTCCAAGAGGACTAACTAACTATCTCACACAGTCAGCCACGACTCTGAAATAATCTTTTTGCCCCCCTACTTTATGCCTTCCAAAAATCAAGGTGAATGTTTTATTTTTGAGGGCATGTTGTATGCAATAAAACATGGTCATTTCAGGGAGATGTACTGCAGTACAGTAATAGCGTTTTTGCCTGTTATGTGTTTTCAGCTGTTTTATTGAAGATTTACAAAACTAGAATTATTTCTACATCAAAGTCATGATTTTCAACCTTAAACAAAGTACAGATCTTCTAAGCAGGGGTCCTGGTTTTCTCCGATTCAAAAAAATACCCAATTTTCAGTTTAAAAAGTGGCCCCAAATCCTCCACATTTTTCTGTGATTTAAACAAAACACCACTAACAAAAAATAATTTGTGTATATATATATATACACACACACAGACACACACACACACACACACACACACACACACACACACACACACATTTCTATCTATCTATCTATATCTATACAAAATGCAATTAACACAGTGGGTATCATTATCAAATGGTTTCATGGTTTCATTTATGGTTTCATGGTTTCATTTATGGTTTCATTTTAATCGTGGGGTTACTTTTTTTCAGCCGGAAAGTGGGGATTTTTTTTAAATCAGAGAAAACCAGGACCCCTGCTTCTAAGCAATGTGTGTTTCTGTGAGATGCTGTTGCCAATTCCTTTTTATGTTAATTTATATTATACCAAACCTTATTTGAAAAAGGAAAAAAATAATTCAACAAATTACTGACCATCTGGCCATAGTTTTAGGCTTATGTGACACTGCCATTCCTAGGGCATTCTCCGATAAATAAGCAGTAGCTTGGTTAGTCAACTTCATGTTGAATAGTCTGTACATTTACCTAATATACAAACACAGATAATTCCCCATTGTATCCTCATTCACTATATTTTTAGAACTGTTGCAAAAACAAAACAAAAACAAAGCAAAACAAAACAAAAAACTTTTCCAAAGCATAAATATGGTCTAAGGACCATCCTAACAAAGTATAAGAATTTTCTATAGTGCCCTAACAAAGATAAGAGTGAAAGTGTTTTTAGGAGGCATATATCAAAGGAAAACTCCACTGGCCAAGGTAATTGCTACAAATAATCCAAAAATGAAAAGTTTTTATCACCAGAAGCATGTTTTACCCTTTAAAAACACCATGCTAGAATAACTCTAGAATTTGCAATTCCAAACTGCCTGTAGCCAATTAAAATCAGATTATTTCAATCTATACTAATCCACCTCAATTTTTAATTAAATTATTTCTTCCTGAGAAACTCCTACAGCCAAGTTGGCGATAATGACATGATAATGGAGTTTGCAAGGTAAATCCATCTCCAAATGTTGGCTTTTCTCCAAACCCAGGTATAGACTTAAATTAAGTTTGCCACATTTCCTTTACATGTAAAAGTTTCATATCTATGAGTCTCTACTTACCTCCTCCCTTCCTCCTAACCACAACTTTTGAAGTTTGCTAATTTGCATTACCCAGATACATCAACTCTTCAAGTTGATAGGTTCCAAGTACAACATGACTAAGCAAAAATAAAGATCAGTTTCAGTCATTGAACAAATCTTCCCCCGCCCCCTTCCCCCAAAAGCAAGTATCCCACTTCATTGTCATGCATATCTACCTACTTCCTCAGTGAGACCCTAGCTGAAATGAAGTCTTAGTTTGAAAGGCACATATTTACTGATACTACCTAATCCTTGCCAAGGGTATGAAACGGCCATACATCATTTTCCCACATAGCGGGGGAAAAATGATGTGAAAAACTCCATGCAGAAGGGGAAAAAAAAAAAATCAGATAATTTTGCCAGAAGTCAACCTTTCCATTTTGCATAGGTCAGTTCCAGCTCTGCTAGCCTTCCCTGTCAGGTGAAATTTTCTATTTCAGATTTAACAGCATTAGTCAGATGTGCTAACCTTCTGGCACCATAGCAGAGCTGGTAGTTTCCCGTCAATTATGCTTCCATCCATACAAATCTTTATCTTGTATCTGCACACTAATTATCAGGGCTGTACAAAACATTTTTCTCTAAAGGCAAACAAACAGGACTGAGAAATAAACACAGAAGAGAAATTAAGTGAAGTTTATCTCAAACAACACTCTAGCTATCTAGCTAAATGCAATCCTCACCAGTTGTAGCAAGTCCTTGCCACCTCCAGACCCGCCATGGCCATGGCCTCCACAGCCGCTGGCCCGGGTGCCCTGTGCCGGATCTAGTCTGGGGTCCCAGGTAGGTTTGCCTCCCCTGGTTTGCACAACACATGAAGTTGTGTTTATCATCAGGTTAGATGCTACATTTCTGAATTTGGGTACTCACTGAGTTTCCACATTATTTAACCTTCACTTTAATAGAAGGAAGTTGCTATTTGCCTTTGACAGGCCTTTTTAAGTGATCAAATTTCACTCCAATATTTATTTCTGCAAGGAAAAGTGTTGGAAAGTCATTAGGCAAAAATCGTAACAGTTATCTTCCACCTGACTGTAAGTTAGAGAAATGCTGCATACTAGATTACTATTTATCTTACTTTTTAAAATTATCCATATACT